ACAAACATCCATGGAATGCACGTTATTGTTCTACTACTACTTTTCAAATTTAAAATATAATTTTTTTAACACATCTACACAAATGGGCATATGTTAATATGCCCACCGTTTATTTGGCATGCACACATTGGTGATGTTAATATGTTAAAAAAATTATATCACCAATGTATGCATGACACATAAACGGTGCACATATTAACATGTGCTCACTGTGGGTAAGAGAGCATTGCTGTATATTGTATTAGTAAAATATTTCAATATTTTCATTTACGTGGGATGTAGATAATTATTCCTAAAAGAATTTTGAGAGAAGTACTCCCTGAACGACTCCTTTCTTTTTTATTTCCCAAATAACGAGATTAGAAATTTTATTCCTCATTAATATTTATGGGTTCACAATTACGAAATTATTGCGTCATTAGCTATCCAGATCTAATCGGCCGCATCACTCCTGTTCCCATTTTTTTTTCTTTCTTCCTAATTCTTCTCTTTCTTTAATCGGTAGAAGACCACGCAATTACCCATTTTTTAATTCACAATTACTACTTTTTGAACGCATAGTCCTCATGAATGTCGATGATTTGTTTGTGTACGAGAATACTTCAAAACCAGATTTGATTATCGCTTCGATGCCTCTTGTGCGAAAGAGGATTCAATTAGGAAAAAAATCAAGGTACGGGTGAGTTGCAGAGATTAGATGAAGTTCCATGGTTAGTTCCAAATTTGTGTGGGAAAGGCTTAAGATCTATCTTTGATCACCTAAAGGCGGTGGCTTAAGAAGATGCCCACCTCTCGGAATTCGAAACCTATAGCAGCAGAAGAGTTTTGGAGGTGAGCCTTCTGTACGACTTGGTATGACTGATTTTTTCGTGGCTTATTTTGGACAGGTTATAATAATGTTGCTCAGTTTACTTATGGTTTATTAGTATTCAGTTTACTTGTGGTTTATGAGTAGTTTACTTATGGTTTATGAATAGTTTATTTCAGTTTACTTATGGTTTATTAGTAGTTTATTTCAGTTTACTTGTGGTTTATGAGTAATTTACTTATAGTTTATGAGTAGTTTATTTCAGTTTACTTGTGGTTTATTAGTAGTTTATTGTACGCATATTTTACTGTTTATGAATGGTTTATTTTTATTTATTTTAGAAGTGTCTAATGACGTGATGGGGTTGAAGAAAGATCATTAAGTTGGATTATTGATATTTTATTTGGTGTACAAAATTAGTTTTTCCTAATTCATTTATTTTATTAAAGTTTATTTAAGGTATATAAGTATATTTCTTATTTTAATAACATCATTTTTCTAAATAAATAAAAGAAAGCAAAAGGCCAGAAAGAAGAAACATATGAGGAAAATTTAAACACCCGTGCGCGCTACAAGAGAAGGAGCAGAGGGCGGAAGAAAGAGAGCATAGCTTAAAGAAAGAAAAGACACCCATACTGGAATTAAAATGTAAATTATTTGTTGGTGTGGGATTTGTTTAAATATCTCGTCATTTTGGAATTATTTTAATAAAAACTGGATATATGTGTACTTTCGCCAAAGAATTTGGATCAATCTGAATTCACGAAGCATCCTAGTGTCTATCCAGATTATTAGATGAACAGAAAGTTTAACTGGACCAAACGAACTGTTTTAATATATAAAATTTGGCCACCAGCCGAACTGGCCAAACAAAGGTCCACCATAACTGTTTTCCTCCGCATTTTCTACACTTAGCCCGATTTAAACGAATTTTCTTCTCATAATCTCATCTCACCTCGAAATTGAGCATTTCAATAGAATAATCGGAGAGATGAAGAAGGCGTTGAGAGCTTACGGAGAGGTTCTGAGACTGGTACGGCGGCTGCCGGAGGACACCAGGGGTTACTACGCCAAGTACGCGCGTGAAAACTTCGTCAACTACAGAGACGCCGACCCCAATGACTCCGCCGCCGTTGGCGAGCTTCTCCGGCGAACTTATACTCACTCTCTCTGGGTCCTCAACAAGGTCATCTCTCTCATTCTCTCTCTGTCTCTCTCTCTCACTCTCTCTCTCACACACACACACAATAGACGGTGAAATTGAACTGAGGCTGTGTTTGTGTCATTTGCAGTATTCCGTGGGAGAATCTGTGGCGGGGAAACTGAAGGAGATCTGTTCTGCGTGATCGGGTTTGGTTTTGTATGCCCACCAAGTGTTTGCTTTTATTCCTCACTACTTTTTTTTTTTTAAAAAAAAAAAACTTATTGCTAAATTATAAGCAGGTGTTGTTTAATTATCAATAAGATTACTCTCGTCTATAAAGAAAACCCTTTTATTTGAATATTTATGATTTTTTTTTTCTTTTAGTTGCAATTACCAATTTTTTGGATGATTGCTTTCTGGGTTTTGTTATTTAGCTTTGAAATTGTTTTTTCATCAATGACACATTTATAAATGATTTGTGTATAATTTTATTTTCAATGTCGTATATTTATAAAAGTTTTTTTAAAAAATATAGCACACGTACGGAGGCATTGTCTTTCAAATACATATATATATATATTGGTACTCGATTATGTGGGTATGCAAATAAAATTTTATAATTTATATATGTGTGTGTATAATAGTTATAAAGTAAGTTAGATAATGAACATATAAAATATTTAACTTACATATAAGTCATTATATTGATTGCAATAATATAATTTGTGCAATAAACTATTTAACTTGCATATTAGTCACTATATTAATCGCAATAATATAATTTGTGCAATATTGAGAGATTGACCATTTAATTAGACTATCAAATATTGAAATTATTATTATAGCAACTAGTGTGTATCCCGCGCGATGCACGGGTAAATAATATTAAATATTTATTATAAATAGTATCGAGTTCGAGTCACCCAATGCAAAAAGTGGAGAACCACTATTAATCATCTCTTAAAAGAGCAAGAAAAAATAAAGATGAGGGTAAACGATATTAAATATTAATTATAAATTAACGATGTTTAACATGTCATATAATTTATGTTATATCATTTTATTATAAACGATATAAAAATTAGCTTGTTCAAAAGAACATAAAGTTTGTATGTTTAAACAAATAAAAACTCCTAACATAGTAGCTTTATTTTATATTAAATGAAGACTAAGACGAGTTTGAAAAAAAAAAGTCTATTTTCAAAACTATTCTCTTGATTTTTGAAACAATACATTTGTAATTTGACTTAATTATTGTAAATTTTTTAAACTTATGGAAAAAAATTAAAGAGATGAATTTCAGTTGATTTGAAATTCTTAAACCATTTTGAATTTCGTGCAAAATGAAACCAAAAATTTTGAAATTCATCATGATTTTGTAATTTCCAAGAGGTTTGTTAATTTTTAAAGTGGCACAAAATCCTTCATTAAGGTTATTCGTCCAAGGATAGAAGCATGTGATTAGATTTTTTTGTTCAATTTGAACAAAATCCTTCATATTAGAAGAGATTTTGAATTAAGCCCCCTTTTTTATGGCAACTGAAATGAGAAGTGATTTTAAATTTCAAATTTTCAATTCAAGAAGGTAATTTTTTTGGCAATCTGATTGTGTGGAATAAAAAACACAATCGAATTTTTTAAATAAAAAATGAGAAAAAATTTTGAATTTCAAATTATATTCAATGATCAAAATTTCTGGAACTTAATGGAACCAAATCCACCAATCTAGGCTGCAATGTGATTCACGATTTTCTGTTATCAAAAAAATTTCTTTTTGAAAATTAAATCAACTGCAACTTTAGGAATTGATATTTTTTAAAAAAAAATAAAGAATTCATTAATTTAATGGTATTAGCCGATTTGATGTTCAAAAGGCTTCAAATTGTTTGCAAATACTAAAGTTATTTTTCATTATTTAATCAGTCGTAATTTCTTTTTACAAAAAAATAATGCAATTTGGTAATCTTATTTCTGTTAAAAAAATTCTTTAATTTGTGAAAATGAAAATTTTACAACCCGTTCTTGCGCAAATAAAATATTGAGGATTTTATAATTAGATTAATTTTGTGTTATTTTCAAATATAAAAAAAATGTAAAAAGAATAGAACAAAAATATTGTATATTTTGATTATTAAATGAACTGTAGTTTATTTTATTTAAAAATAAAAGTATCCGATTAAAACAATTGTAGTAGCCGAGTTGATGTTAAAAAGAGTTTCTGATGTTTTGTAAATACTAACTTAAGTTTATATTATTAAGTTAGGCATAATTTATTTTTTTAAAATAAAATTTGCAATGTGGTACACAATTATATGTTAAAGAATTTTTTTTTTTAAAATTTGTGAAAATGAAAAAAGAGCAGCCTAATCTTAAGCAAAAATAAGTAACGAACTTCACTTAACAAACTCCACATTTAAATACAACAATTAATGATGCACATTTGTAAATAAAAAAATAAAATAAAAACTTGCCATGAAAAAAAAAAATAGCATGCAATTAATGCTCAACAATATTTGACCACAATTTGACTTGTCGTTTTTAAAAAATGGTAATTCTTTATATATATATATATAGAATTGCGGTATTAAAATTATAAATGGGTTGGTTATGGGGACACTTCTTCTAAAATCCCTATTCCCTTTTCTAAATTCCTTGTCAGTCCCT